GTCCCCTCTCTGCCCCTTGCATTGTTTTTTTTTTTTACTTTTTGTGTTGGCTAAAAGAAATTTTTGAGTCGTGTTATTCTTTTAAACGGGTATTGCCCCACCCCCATTTGGTATTAAAGAAAACATTGTCTCTAAATGAGCTCTTTTAAAGTATGTTTAATATTGTAGAATTTATATATTGCTTTTAACACCAGAAAAGGGAAAAATCGTATGATATGCAAGCTGCTTAATATGTAGGAAAAGAAAGCTACATAAAAAAGGTTCTCAGAGGAAGTCCTAAACACACCGTAAAATGTTAAAATAAAGAAGCGAAAAGATGAGGGAAAGAGAGAAAAAGAGGCTGGAAGTGCCTTAACGTTTAAGTGCTTAACTTGATTGCAAATATATTTAGACTTATCAGTCATTGCTATCCTATCCATTTTCATGTACAATTAAGGTTGAGATTATCCAAGAGGTTCTATGCTGAAAGAGCAAAGGTTAGCCTACTCACAGAGAAATAACGCTAATTCATGCATTTTTTTTAAATTAGTATATTTATGAGATAATTTTGAGAGATATATTCAAAATGAATGGTGGGAAATTTTTTCTATATTTTCAAATATTTTTTGAAAAACAGTAATTATGAACAGATAGTATGCATATTAGATGAAAATATTTAACTATTAACAAAACAAATTGTTTACAATCAACCTTTCACTGAACCTTGTAATAAAGGTAATCACATGTATACGTCAAGTAAAATCTAGATTTCCAGTAAGGTTATTATGCTTGTCTTTTTCTGCGTATTTTATATTCCTTGTAATCATTGAAAGTGCAGCCAGGATCTATATAATTATGTTAATATTTCAAAGCAAAGAAAAGATATAGCGGATTTATTTTTCTAACTCTGAAATGTAAATTAAAGTACATTCTTCAAGATTTCACAAAGAATTGGAGTCTTTAACTGTGGTCAACTGTTTTCTTGCATGAAGTCGATAAATTATTAGCATTCAACTAATGGTAAATTCGTTGAAAAGCATTCAACCTATAGTCTTTTAACCATTTTATGGAAAGCAGTTCAGTATGTTTTTCATACATGTATATACATCAAATTAGTGGACAGCAATTCCCGCCTAATCAGTTGACGATTAATTAGACATTTCCAGAGTTCGCGGTCTCGAGCTCGTACTCGTACATAGATATAGGGATTCTTAGGGGTGCGTGTCAAAAAAAAAAATGATGTTGAATAGATAATCGTATTAACACTCATAAGTAAATATATGCTACCGCTCTCTAATTTAATGAGGGTAAGACATTTAAAATGTTCAGAATATTTACACTATATATAACAATTTGACAAACGATACGTCTCAAACTTTTCAACCTTTCATACGACCCCTCTTTGTTATCAGCAGGTAAAGTCCGAGTCCCAGTCCGAGTTCGAGCTCGCTATACTGGAAATGTCTATTAAGAGCTTGTTGACGACTAGGCATTTTTATTGGATGCACATTCACAACTATCATTTAATCTGTTTATAGCTTTATTTACACTCAAGTACCACCACACGCACCTTTCATGATAATGATTATGACAAAATATTTCCTAAATATCAAAAACAGAAATTGTTATGAAAGCATTTACCCCACTGACATTTATATGAACTGTCTATTTTGTAGGTTTATATTGTTTGTCGAATATCATAGCCTAATAAAATGTTGATAATTTGTCCTCCAATTATAATTTTTATGACATACATAAAATAAAATTATGGTAAATGATTGATAACTTTTTTTCTATAAAAGATGGCAAAATGTATGTAATCCGAACATTGGACAGATTTCGTGAAAATTAAAGGTAAGCGCAAGGGAAATCCAAACTTACATTAAACTCTGAATACCTTGTCATCTTACAAATATATATTTTTACATGCAAAAAATTTACACATATATCAAAATGTGTACTCGTAATTTGATTTTAAAAAATGACTGTTAAGAAGTCTCCAACAAAATTGCATTCATGTCACATATTAGGGCTAAGTAAATTAGATATCTACTTTCCAATGTTTTGTGAAAATTATACATGTAAAGACGTTACATCCGCCTGTCTTTTTGAATGAGGAATAATGTACTATATGTATAGCCAACATTCTATATTGTATTGATTTTTAAGTACACTTAATTATAAAGTTATAGTTATAAAGTTAAAATATAAGTAAAGAGACTCTTATTGTGAAAATAAATGTTTGTAGATGTTGAAGTTGCTTGTTCTCTGCTTTTCCTTCGTCATCATCTGCAGTGCACAGTCCTGTAGAGATTGCAATGTGGAAGGACAACTTTATTCAGGGGACTCAATTTTTAAGTTCAATATTGGGTGTCTTCATTATACCTGTCAATGCAGTTGTGACGGATCATATCACTGTCCGGCTTTCCTCACTAAGAACAACTGCCGCAGTCCGCCAAGGAATGAAAACCAATGTCAAAACTGTAAGGTTGGTGGGAGAAGATACGGACGTGGTCGGTTCCAGTTCGATAGGGATTGCTACCGATTTGATTGCAACTGCAACTGTGATGGATCTTATAATTGTCCTTCATGGAGTACTAGATACTTGTGTTGATATATAACTGTCGGGATTTTGAAGTTTTTCTTTTCAACAAAAAGAACAATATGTTTAATTAATTACTACATTAATTTTATGTTTAATTACTCTGAATTACATTTTTTGAAATCAACATTTAATTAATAAAATTGAAAGACATCTTATATTGTCCATGGTGTTTTACTGATATCCTCCGGCTGTTGCTGATGTATATGATAAGGAAGAAACATGTTGATAACTATAATTTGGGTATATGTTTATATTAGATTAACACTAAAGAATCATTCAAGGTGAAATAATATGCTTCTTGGTACTCTGACTAACCATCCATTGTGGGACGTGGAGACTTTTCCTGCGAATGAGACTTATAAATCGAGGTCCCGTGTAGGCGCTGGCACGAAAAGGACCCCTCCCTGTTAAATGGCAGTAAGAGATGAGTTTACGTCTAAAATTGTAGCTCTTCACTGGCAAGCGATAGCATTTCCCTATGAGTGAAATATTCCTTTGAGGGACTTTCCACAACATAAAATCAATTAATCAATCGTACCAGCCCTATATACACAATCTATATTTTAATTATTCGTATTAAAATGAATGCAGTCTATTTTTAATAATATATTTTTTTTAATAATTCATTTAAAATCATACAGGGGAAACGTACAAAAACTTATAATGCATAAAATTCAAAGTGGTTAAGATTAGTAAACAGAGGATGCCTGTATGTACCACTCTTTTGTACTTGGATCCACTTTTTGTATTTTCAGGGATTCAGGTTTCTTGTCCTTTTAACAAAGAGCTAGAGTTACTGACAATCGAGATGTGTCTTTTCGCCAAAATAAATAAGAAATTTATATAGATACTGCTTACTTTTAGCTTTTCATTATTATTATTTCGGATGTTAAACACATGTCATACATGTACAATACTTTTTCAAAAAAGAAATTTTACAGTATGACACAGTTTATTTTTATTAGAACCGTCCGTCTGTCTGTATGAACGTCCCTCGGTCCATTTGTCTGTTACGTTTTGGGGTACCCCTTTTCTTATCCGCAACTCATATCTTACCGTTGAATAAAATTTGATGAAACTTTCACTTGAACTTTATTACATATTGTCATTGTGCGCCTCCCATGTTACTTTTTGATCTTACACATTTTGGATTTCCGTCAAAAAAAACATGGACATTTCCATTATATTCATATGGGAGACGAGGGTATCACTCAGTGAGCTTAGAGCTTATAATACCTGTAGTTGTCAATGAATGTTTTGTTTGTAATATGAGAGCTGTTATAGTACACATAACTTTTTTTCCCTATTATGGCATCTTTTAAAATGTGTCCAAACGTAGACCAAAAATACACACGCAGTTTATTCTTTTTGTACAATTAACAGAGCGTATTATCAAATGAACATTGATACATTAAGAAATTAATAAGATTCAATCTAAATAACTACTGAACACCAAATTTTAACAAATAATGGACTAAAATAAATTTTAGCTGAAAGTTGGTACAAATGTATACAATACTGAGCATTCGAATATTCGATCACACCGGTACCCTAGCATTCTGTATACGTATGCACGAACGTACAGAGAGGGTGATTCGGGAGTTATTCAATTTCAAAGTTATTAGATTTAGCGAAAGATGTCGGTGGACCAATCCTACAAACACACAAAAAAGTTGGAGAAAGAGTCTATTTAGCGCCTTGAAACGAGAACCACACCTCCTTTCAGGAAATATGCTTGTTTTCCTGACAAAGGATTTTCAAGTTGTATAATAAACCTTCTCGCACTGAATAATATTTATCTTTCTTCTTTTTGTTCCAAAAAAAAGAAATATCTGAGTCTAATTTTTCTTTTAAACGGGTATGGACCCATCCACATTATATATCAAAATAGTATTGCCTCTAAATGAGCTCTTTTAAAATAGATTTAATATTGCTGAAGTTATGCATCGCTTATAACACCTGAAAAGGGACATCGTATGATATGCAAACTGACTAAGTTGGATAGGAAAGCTTTTGAAAAAGTTCTCAGAGGATGTCTTAAACACACCGTGAAATGTTAAAAAAAGAAGCAAGACAAGCTGGAGAGAGAGAGAGGTTTAAAGTTTAAGTGCTTAGCTTTTTAAAAATATTTGGAGACTTTTCAGTAGTTGCTATCTTAACCATTTCCATGTGCCACTAAGGATGAGTTTGTCAAAGAGGTCATTGCACAAATAACAATAGAAATTTATTTTTACCGCTAATATTTGAGTATTTTTGTCCAGGATGATGTAGAAAAACAAAGGTTAACCTATTCAGTGAGAAATTACACAATTTTATGCAATTTTTCAATTTAAGTATAACATAAATTTTAGTTATTTATTTGAAGTGAATGGTGGGAATTTTTTCTACATATACAATTATTTTTGACAAACATTGATAATGAACAGATGGTATGAATATTAGGTGGAAATGATCTATTATATAAAAAAACCCAAATGTTTTCCATTCATTCTTTTGCTGGACCTTGTAATAAAGGTATGTATATTTCATGATCAAGTAAAATCTAAACTCTGAATGAGGTTATATTGCGTATCTTATTCTTTTAACGTTATGTTAACTTTATGTTAAAATCGAATAAATAATATCATTCTATAATTTATGTTTGATAATTTGAGTTATTTTTTTTTATTGAACAATGCAAAACTTTTCATTATCTGATAAACTGGGTATGTTCAAAACACTGGGTACATGTACACATGCTGATTTTTTGTCTAAGAATATGCAGTACTGCTAGATTTTTAAAGTTAGAATACGTTGCGTATATCTTTGATTAATTGATTGATTGATTTTACGTTGTTTAACGTCCCGCTCGAGAATTTTTCACTCATGTGGAGACGTCATGTCGGTAAAAGGCTTTAAATTTAGACCGATACTCGGCACTCAGGGATGATGAACATCAAGTATTCTTTATCGTGCCAGCGCCTACCGTAACACGGGACCTACGTTTTAAAGGTCATATACGAAAGACACGTGATCTTCCCTTCTAGTGCAGAGCGCTTGGCGATGGAACAGTCACTAACCATATTAACGTCTTAGGTTTGACGAGGCATCGAGAACAAGAATCAAACCAGGGCCTTCCGATCACGAAGTGAACGCTCTACAACTAGACTACCGTGATCGGACTTTAATTAATTGAAAGCACTGTTACAGTTGATTAATGTCCATCTATTTCTAAAATATTTGTACAAGCCTTTGCAGACAAAAGGGCAAAACGATTAATCAACAACTGAGTCTAAATATGAGCCTATTCTGACAGAAAATCACTTTAACGTATGGAACGTCATCATGAAAAAGAAACAAATAAAGACTATTTTAATGAATGTTTTAGATATCTTCAAATGCAGTTCAAAGATTTTTTTTTCTAAATAATTGGATCATTTTAAATATTTTCCGATTAATTCCGATTAATATTTAGTTTTTCAAACAGCAGAAGACGTCAGTGTGTTAGTAAGTAAGTACATTTTATTTTCAGCCGGCTTTTGTACAATGAGCAACAAATAGCATGTGCTCTTTAGACGTTTAAATAGACTTTCACAACTAAAAATATCAAAGAAATGGCAAAGATGCATCATTAATTAATAAGGTATACAAAACACGTTGTTCAAATATTCCACATATATATTATATTTTAAAAAACAAAATTCGAAACAGCCGAGTATTTTTTTTTAAAAATGTCATCCACATTTTTGCATTTGAAGAGAAACAAGAATTTAAAAAGTGATGATAAATATCATAGACATAGTAGCATATTACAAGCATATTGAGCACAACATTAAACGACAGAAACAGCTTAAGGATATCCGATTCTCAGCCAGGAAGGATGACTCCAAACATTAATATTTAATTTAAAAAGCGTAAAGATAAGGCTTAAAAATAAACATGCAACATGCAACAATTTTTATTTTATTCATCTTTATATGAGTCAAGGTTTATAGAAGTCTTAGAAAAGGTCTTATAAAAAGTTGACATTTGTACGCCCCCAAAAGGAAAAAAAAATAAATACAGTTTTAGAGAAGTACATGTAATATTTTCTTGAATCAAGCCTTAGATATCAATACTTTGTAGCATTATATGAAATTAGAAGTGATTTGTGATTTGTGCTATTTCAAAGATAGCAAAAACCTTCTACATTATGTATTATATAATACATGAAGGAAATCAAAGATATAAAATACCAAAAAAGTATAAAAATCACGACAATTTCTCTGAATGCCTGGATACCTATTTATTTAACCTAAAATATTTTCGTTGATCAATTTGCAATTAGAAAATGCATAACTGATATTTCTATTCGCTTTTTTGGAATATATATTGGAGATTTGACAATTTTCCCTATATAATATGATTAACCTTAATGTGTAAATTAAAAGAAATACTGTGGACAAATTTACATTACTTTTTGGATTCAGAGATATTTTAATGATAATTTTTGATTACTTAACTGCTAATTTTATTAACCTGAGGATCGGACTACCTTAAAATGACATCGTAGTAATGCAGTACATGTTATGAAAAAATGGCAAATTGTTATACTTTTTAAATGAGGTAGAAAAAAGTGCCGTAATGTCAAAATAAAGTTTTATATCACGATACAAAAGAAGTTCAGAAAATGATTAAAAATGAAGTATTACTGTATAGCAGATAAAAGGCTTTAAAAAATTCAATGAAAAACTGTAGATTAAAAAGAACAAGTTGAGTTTGTGAAACACTATGCACTAGGAAGCAACAGAGTTCGAAAAAGCTATTTTTAGCAAATAGGTCACAGTCAAGGTCACACGATCAGAATCCTCGCTGTCATTTAAAATCACTTAATTTAGTGGAGTATGCATGCAAAATATGATGTTCAAAAGTTATGGCGAAAATTCGAAAAGGCTATTTTTAGCATATAAATTAAGGTAAAAAGTTCATTGACCTTGTTATTATTTGAATGAACTTAATTAGTGGAGTATGCATATCAAATATGAAGTCTCTATCTCCTACTGTTCAAAAGTTATGGCGAAAGTTCGAAAAAGATATTTTTGGCATGTAGGTCACAGTCAAGGTCAATAGGTCATTGACCTTGGTGTCAGTTGTAAGTGCTTTATTAGTGGAGTATGCATACCAAATATGAAGTCTCTTTCTCTCACGGTTCAAAAGTTATGGCGAGGGTTAAAGTTGACAACACGCAGACAGACAGGAACAATATACTCCCCGAATAAATTCGGGCGCATAAAAATTGTGTTTTTTTGGTATGTATGTTGTTCAACGCCCCTCTAGTAAAACTTTCATTTATATGCAGACTCCACTACTTTCCAGTGGAAAGCTGCAAATTTCTGTCCTTTACTCGGCACTCAGGGCCATTCAGCAGGGAGAGATTTTTTTGTGCCAGCATCTATTGCGATACATGTACAGAACCTCGGTATGTTTATACGGCCTTAGCGGAAAAACCAGTTTCCATGTCCCCCTGTGGGATTTTAACCCACGACGTAAGGTTCAACTTCTTCGCCACTATAGAGCAGACGCGCTAACCACTGCGCCATGCAGGCGACAGAAAACTTGTGAAAGAATTAATTATATAAAAAAAATAAAAACAATAATTATGAATTAAAAAGTGTCTCATCATCTATAAAGCCCCCACTCTGTGTCTTCACGAGAACTACATTTGCATTTATCCCCTACAAACAATGTGTCAATGAAGATACAATTATAATACATGCAGTTTAGGGTTGAGAGTTCCAAATCATGGTTTGGTAAAGATTTTCATATTCTGACACATGATATACGAGCATCAAAAGTTCAAACAAAAATCAAAAGTTACACCAAGCAGTATGACTTCTTCACATGCAAGAATTATGCCATTGAAGTAAAAAATGGTGTTTCTATAACGCATTTTTTTAATGTTTCCCAAGAAACATTTTTGCAAAGCTAAAAAGAAGGCATGGTCATTCGGCTCGCTTTTCCCCCAAATTTTCTTTAAGGCACATGAAATCTCAAACAGCACATTATCATTACAAGCACTTGTTTTGGAAATAAAATTTTAACCCAGGGTATATAATAATAACACAATGTATCAAACTCCGAATTACACGGAAAACCCCCCTCCCGCAGAATTGCATTCATTCAAACTTTCAGAGAAATTGCACTGACAAACTGTTTATTGCTATGTCTTCTACGATAATTTATCTACACAACCATATATTGTATGCTTATCTTTATTTTCTTTTGTCTCCGTAAACAGCGTCACAACTCTGCTCGCCGAGTGGAAAGTAGAGTTCAACCATAAAATGGTATGTGCTAATATCGAAAAAAATGAGTGGGTTTAAAAATCCATCTCCTGTGTTTAAATGTTGTAGTGAGTAAATAAAACTTCATTACATCCGATTTTCCATGAAAACATTGCAATCTTTATCTGATATAATTTTAGAAATAGATTTTTAGCCAATCAAAATCTCTATGCGGGATCAGCACATACCGTTTTATGGTTGAGTCGACTTTTCCACTAGGCGAGAAGAGTTTTGACGCTGTTTACGGAAAAAAACAAAGACATACATGCCATATATGGTAGTGTACTAGATAAATTTTCGTAGAAGACAATGGATATAAACAGTTTACCAGTGCACTTCTTTTGAAAGTATAAATGAATGCGTTTTTGAGAAGGGGGTATTAAGTGTAATTCTGAGTTAAATACCTTGTGTTATTATTATACTATGGGTTAACATTTTATTTTCTAACATTTACCTGTGATTATAATGCATTTGTAATTAAGTTATTGCAATTATATTATTATTATTATTATTATTATCATTATATTTTATTGAAGTGCATATATTTTTAGTTACAGAACCTATTATTTTTTGCAGATGAAATTGTCGTTTCTTCTTGTCCTCTTTGCGATCGTCGCTGGCACCGTTCAGTCTTGTAGGGATTGCTATAGCAGAGGAAAGCGATATCGAGTCAACGAGAGGTTCACATTTGACTTCATGTGTACAAGATATACTTGTGAATGCAGATGTAATGGTGTAACTTACTGCCCAAAGAATCTTACTAGGGAGATACCTTGCGGAAGAAAACGAAGGAGTCACAGGATTGGTGGTCAAAGTTAACGTGCGATATCGCAAGCCTGTAAACGACATTAATCCTAGAATGCTTCCCTCATCAGTGAACAGACAAAAGTGCTTCAATTCTTCTTCCGTAAAGTTTTCCTTTGTTACAGTTTGAATAAAGAAACTTTGCAATCCTCAATGATTTTTTTTTCATTTCGTTAAACATAATCATTAATATAACATACATGTATATGTATTTCTTCTTTCAAACAAAATCTGGATTACTTCATTTGCAAAGAAGAGAATTTGATAAGGTTGATTCTTGTGCATGTTTCATGCGAAGATATGAAACAAAACCACCCAAAAGAAGAAAACAGATATCGAATACAATTTAAATATGCAGTTTTAGTATCACACAGATTAAAAAAAACAAAAATAAATATCGAAACAATAGTACATTATTAATAACATCTTGATACTGTACTGATTTGTAGCCTTTTCAGATGAAGTTGTAATCTGCTGTTTTGTAAATTTGAAACAAATTATCTCTGTCGAAATCAATGTCATATTATTCTGTAATCATGTATGAATCTTTCAACATCGTGCATAATCATACACCAAAAATACACCTAATTATTTTGATCTAGAAGCAGTAATTTCTTCTACAACAGCATCAAAATTATTCAAATCTACTGTGAAAGGAATATTTATTTTACTGTGAATAGTTATATTTATTGTGCACATTTATATTATAAACTATATAAAGTATGATCAAGTACGTCATAATTTAAGCATTGAAATATACGTCATTGCATATTTCAATGAGAGAAGAGCAACAACTCAAAAATCTATAAAGGTTGAATAAAGCAGTGTTTACCCATTTGAAAACCCCGTGGTACCAGAAAAGACCAAAGCAGTTTTGTACTCCCCCCCCCCCTCTCTCTCTCTTCAATATTATGCTAGCGTGCTTACATTTTAAAAAATGTTTTCTCTCTTCCTGTCAGGGATAAAAATATACACATCTAAAGAATTTTTACAAATGAAATTTGCATAGGTTATGAACTTTAAAAGTTTCTGATTTGAAGGTAATTTACTCTATGAATGGTAATTACTTGGACAAATATAGGTAATGAGCTGATGATATACTGTAAACCAACTTTTATTCGCGACGACTTTATTTCGCGATTCAGCAGGGGTAAACTAGTTTGCGACGATTAATTTTCGCGATCAAGCCTTTTTGGATCTGTTATTCATAGACACATAACACTCAAAGGGCCAGTTCGCGGCGAGAAATATTCGCGAATATGAGGCTCTCGCGAACTTCGCGAAAATTTCTCGCACGCGAATAAAAGTTGGTTTACAGTACTTAAATATGTTTTTTCTATTGAATAAGGCTTCATGCTTTTATTTGGACACTGTTTATTGGACCTCGCTTTTTTAATGCTTCCATTCCTAATGATAAGGTGAAATTTTAGCTGATATGAAAGATTGACAAAGGATGATTGTACCTAATAAGGATATGCGAACTTTGAGTAAAAATAAACTTTCAAAACAGACATTTTTCTTTTCATTTCAAGAATGATTAACATCTAATCTACAACTTTACTTAATTATAATAAATAAAATTTTGTATTTACGATGTACGAATACGTTTTCTTGGGGTCATATTAATTTTTTCAGTAATATTATGAGGACGCCCACTTTTTACCTAACTTTATACATAGTCAGCGCATGTTTTGGCAAGCAGAGGATATTCAGAGCTGAAATAGTGATCATTTTTATTTCAGACCGTCTTCAAAGGAAAACATATATAAAAAAAATTAAATTTAAAAGAAATGTTAATGCATTTGCTCATACAATGGATTTATCCATGTAAAAAAGTCAATGATCATGAATATGAGAAATTATTGGCATCAAAGTGAAGATGAAGGCCTCTGAAGATGAAGCACGTGCTGATACACCGGGTTTTTGTCACGGGATGATGCCTATATGGTTTTTGCAGAGAAGGCTATGATGCATGGCGCGATGCACAATGTATAAAAATAATCTTTGTGTCATTCGCAGCTGTAGGATTTTCAAACAAGTTTATCCTATTTGAGCAACTTTTCAATTTTTTCATTCACCATGCACTTTTACCACGTGCACGTCATTATTATCTGGAAAATCACGACGATTTCCTTTCGTATCTTACACACTCCCTGAATAGGGAGTGCCTATTGTAAACTCTTTTTTTAACCATGAATTATCAATCATCTGATGCAAAATGATAATGAAATTGAAGCATAATAACACCGATTAAAACTTAGGTTAAAGCAAGTTTTTAAAATATTTTACTCATGTTTTTATACATGTTATCATTTGAGAATCTCATGTAATTCTCCTTTTGCGGTTTTAGATTTTTTGCGTTTCTTATTGTAGGGAGAGCGTTGAAGAACGGGAAATATGGCGGACTTCGTTTTTATGAGTAGTGTTCGCCTTTAAAAGGAGATTAATAAATAAACATGCGCTCCTGGTGTAAAAGAGCAAAAACTGCCTCCTCTTACACTCGCTCTCTCTGTAGTAAGGGCTGCGACACGTTGAATATTACAATTCACCAAGTGATATTTATTATCAGGTAGTTTTGTGAATAATAAATTCCATCACGTGACTTATATTTCCCATGTTTTGTTCTAACTAGGACACTGTGGTCTAACCCGTTAAATAGTCAGTCATCGATTAAGAATACCTTTATTTACATGGATGGACTCACACGTTTAATAAATTAAATGTACTAGTACCACACAGAAAAAAAAGGAGATTGAAAATAGTGATCTTTTCACTACATGTCATTGTTATTCATCCAGTCTAAATTTTAGATCTATTCTTACATTTGGAAAACCGTAGGGGCAAAACACATAACATTAGTTGTTGTATTTCAGTCTAAAATTATTTTTAACAATCATTTAAATTCGGTGTCAAATTGACAGATTTCTGTAGTAAATATATAGAACTGAAATCTGGTTTAAAAAAGATTTAAAAGCAAAAATCTAGCAAAAAAGACCCAAAACACAGCGTTAATTGCAGTCGTCTTTAAGAATGTTTGAAAGAAATTTGTAAATGTCATCATAATCGAATTAATGTAGATTTTAATGTGAAATTATTTGTTTCTGTTGTACAATTTCTAGCTCAAAGTTCTAACTTTGTTTGCAATTCAAAGCTTAACGTTAATGTTTCGTTTATAATAAGAACAATATGAACTTAAAAAAGTATAACATATTATCTCTCCTTATATCCCCTCTCTTTCTCTTTCTCGGATTGAAATTTCATTTAGGGAATATTTTTCACAAACAAATAAATTTAAAAAAAAGTAATCTTCAAATGAATAAGATTATTTCAAAATGATATTATAAATTGTCACTCTGCATTATAGTACGCCAACGAACAAGGAAATAGAGTAGAAATCCTTATAACAATAAACATTCAAATAAATGAAACATATTTCACTCAAAATAACGCATTAACATTCATGTGACATAACTCATGATTTGAATTTATTTTTATTCATTTCATTTATTTTTAATTTTTCGACATGGGAAAAATTACATAAATTTGTCAAGATATTGATAACAAAATCAATACATCTAGTTTGAAAATATCATATTCAGAAACTATGAATTTCATAAACATTTTTACATATATATCTAACACAGGTGAACTAAGAAAGGAATTAGGTTCAATCTGAAAATCAAATTTTTACAAATAACAGACTAAAATAAATTTTAGTGGAAAGTTGACATACATGTATAAACAAAAGATAGTCGAGTCTTCGAATATTCGTTCATATTCATAGCATATATAAATGCACGAGTATAAAGAGAGAGCTATTCAATTTAAAGTTGTTTGATTTTAAAAATAAAATAGCCGAAAGATGTTGATGGAATCCGATCCCCAACCCTTACAAACACAGATATATGTTGGTAGAAAGAGTCTATTTAGCGGCTTGTAGCGAGAAGCGTCTTTCATCCACACCTCCTTTCAGCAATTATCTTTTTTCAATGACAAAAAAAAAATCAAGCTGAGTTAATATTTATCTTTCCTGTTTGTGTTTGTACAAAGACATGCCTTACCGAAATTATGCATCAAAAATTGAATTGCCTCTTAACGAGGTCTTTTTAATAATATTCAATTTTGTAGTAGTGATTTGTATCCCTCTTAACACCTAAACAGGGACTTTGTATGATATGCAAGATTACGTAGGGAAGGAAAGCTATTGAAAAAAGATGTTTTCAGATGAAGTCTTAAACACACTATTGCTTAGCTTGCAAATATTTTGAGACTTATCAGTTGTTGCTATCCTAACCATTTTCATGTGCAAGTATTTGAGTTGAGTTTGTCAGAGAGTTACATGAACGAATAAAACCCCTTTTTGGGGATGTTTTGGTAATAATTTTGTCAAGAATGATGCGGTAAAGCAAACGTTAACCTATTTAGAGATAAATTACACGAATCAATGCAATTTTTCAATTACATATAAGTATATGAGGTAATTTTGAGTGATTTATTTGAAATGAACAGTGGGAATTTTTTCTACATATGCTATTATTTTTTGAGAAATAGTGATAATAAACTAATTGGTATGAATATTTAATGTAAATGGTTTGCTATAAAAAAAATGACCAAATATTTTCCATTCATTCATTGTGGAACCCTGTTATTAAAGGTATGTAGTTGTCAAGTAAAGACTAGATTTCCAGTAAGGTTATTATGCTTATCTTTTTTCTTTATTTTATGTTTCTTGTAATCATTTATGAATGGTAAAAGTATAAATATCATCAAAGAATTTTTAAAATTATCTGATGACAGTTCTATCCCCCTATGACGTCATATGTTTTTTGACAAAAAATATATATTAATCGTACTTTTTGAATTAGAAAAAAGAAATCTTTGGATTTTTTAATACCGGTAAGTTTCATGCAATAAATTTGTAATTGTTGAGTAAAAGAATTATGAAAATGTATATTTTCTTTATTTAATCAATTATTCAATCTTTTAAAATGTTACCAAAGGAAAAAACTCGTCATGCATTCAGGAATCATTTTTGAATTATCATAATTATAGTACATATTATGTAAATTGCTCTCCCTGATATCTAAAATTTTGGTATTGTATAAAGAAGTACGTAATCTGGAACTTTTAGCACCAGAATTATGTATTTTAATC